TCCCTACATTGTCCTCTTCCTCCCAGGTTCCTCTGGTAGGCGCTACCTCCCCTCCGTGGTTTACCTGCTGTCTCTTGGTGTTCATGAATTAGCAGAGCTCACCTTCCCCTGCGTCCCTGTGGCCTATTGGCTGAAACACTGGCCCAGAGATCAGGAGAGCTGCGTTCTGTTCCTGCCGGTGCCTCTGGCTGGTTCAGAGACTTGTTTAAAACCACACAACTTCCCTGTGCCTCGGTCTATACAACGGGGATTTCTGCTCTGAGTTAAATAACTGGATGCCACCGTACACACACAGCTATTCTTTAGCACTGCTACAGCCTTATTCACAGCTCTTCATTCAAATCACTGGATGGCATAACGCTCTTCACCTCTGAATGTTATAGCACACGTGGGAACTATTAGGAGATGGATCTCAGTTTCTACTGTATAATTTAGCCAAAATCACTACACTGATACTACTGCCTTTAGCTACCAGGGCTGCTAGCGGTCCATGGTACCCCTTCCAGGATGTTGGGTCCAGAGACTCTTACCTTATGCAGTTTAATAGCCCGGTTCAATCTTTTCTCCTGATTGAGCTGGAGTTGTGTCCTCCCTAGAGCTTCTTTAAGCAGAGCATTCTCCTCTGCTTCTCTGTAGACTTCATCTTCCAATTTAGTCATCTCTTTCTGGCACACCCGCAGAGACTCCTTATTCACCCTGTACAAAACAGGTAGGGCTTTATTTTCATTCACAGCAAAAACACCTTTTGCAGCTCTAGTAGCAAAAAAACAAACAAACAGAGCTTTGAAGGGAGGAGGAATGTTGTTTATGTCCCTTTAGGCGCCTCTACAATGTTATAGCTGTGTAAGTGAGGATCAGGCCCGTCCCCCATCCTTATTGAAAAAGGCTGAATATATTTTAACAAGAGACACCCCCAAACATTTTTGCTTTAGTCCATAACAAATCTCTTATTAGGGTGCAGGTTTCTGCAGAAGGGAGTAGCTAGGGGGCTATTCCTTGCTTTTCCCATTGAAATAAAAATGCTTTCTCATCAATGCAAGCAATGATGGAGGTAGCAGCACATGCGCACACACATGTCCACTCTAAGTATATTTGCTGGAAATATTCCCCGCTTAGTCCTAAAAGGTACTAAGAGAGCAGAAGACGGACAACACAGCACAGTGCCCGATAAACATAATTTGAACAGGGGGTGAAAACTCTGCAGATGCTCTTGGGAGTTCCCTCCATGGGAACTGTAGTGAAAATACCTGCCATCCATCTGGGCAGAGGTGGGCAAAATGTGAACTGGCTGTGGCCTGCCAGGCCATTGTATCCAGCCCGCAGGGCCCCTAAAAATTTAGAAAATTTAATATTTATCTGCCCTGCCTGTCATGCGGCCCTCGATGGCTTGCCAAAACTTGGTAAGTGGCCCTCTGCCCAAAACAATTTCCCGCCCCTGATCTGGGGTAATTTAGTACGCTTCAGAGTTAAAAGATTTGCCCTTCAAAAGTATTTTTATGAGTTCTGGCAGGCAGATCTTAGTATCCAGGAGAGGGAAGAGAAATAACCTTAACCTTATCCTTTCCTTCCATTTGAAAGCAGGATTTTAGGATAGGGATCCAAAAGATCTCATCCTGTTCTCTACTCTTCTTTCTGGTTTCACAGTCCAAATGATTTAGACACATTTCTTTTACAAGATAAAGAACACATGCAATGTTTGTGACTAAACAGAGTAATGCTGCCTCATCTGCCATGGATTTTTTTTCACAGCATCATATAAATAATTATCGTACCCATTCCTAGTTAAGATGAATATCAATTAGAAAAAATCCACAAGAGTAATGTAATATTGCTACAGAGTAAAGCCAGAAACCTCTGTATTCATGCTACCAATCTTTTAGCTACATCTCAGAACGCTAGCCTCAATTATCCACTCTAAAAGCTTAAAATGTGATAATTAATTCCTTTATCCCAAACTGGTTTCAAATGAAGACTTTTTAAATAGATGAACGTGTAAACAGGATACAAAGGCTTAACATGAGATTGTATTAAGGTCTCCATTTCTGGAAACTGCACGTACAATTTCCATGTGTTCAATTAGTTCTTTGGCCAAGCACTCCTGGACTTTCATGCAACAGCAGAGCTGGCCATCCCATGCCATCGGTTTTTAAGAAGGACCTGCATTTATGCTATCAGTTCGCTTACTGTGGACTTAGAAGGTATGGTTTTAGGGAGCTATGCAGTTCAAAGAGAGCCTTTCTCTAATTTATGCCAGCTTTACAACAGACGCATGCAATAACAGAATGAATCTTTTTTTTTTTTTATAGAAACACACAAATATCCTGTGATTAAAACCGAAACATAAATCGCTCCTTTTACTAATTTTTTTCATCATGGTGTTGGGCCTTTCTGCTACAAAGCTGGATCTGCTTTCAGGGCTCTGTAAATAGTTTAGTGAGCTTTCCGTACCTGAGCTGTTCAATGTCTGACTCGTACTCTTTTAGCAGCAGTTCTTTCCTTTCTAGCTGGCTTTTGAGTTTACTGATCTTATCATATAACAATTCAAGGTCCTTCTGGCGCTGCAGTCCCACTTTTTCCCTCTCATCTTGAGAGAGATGTTTAACAGGCTGCACCCCTGTCAGCTCCTTCATATTCATCAGACTTCCAAGAGCATGAATTAAGTCGAGGTACTGTAAGAAGAACAGAGAGTGAATTATTTACCAGGAATACTAACTCCTAATTAGAATAATTTCACACCGCTCGCCATCTGTTTTCGTTCTGCTTTAGTGCAAAAGATTAAAATGTAGTAAATAAACCATTTTATGTGGCCTTCTTGGCTTACATTTAATGTATATTCCCCTCTCAGCTTATTTTTATATCTTCCTTAAGAAATCAAGCAGAACAATAAACTACCCAGTATGTGCATTCAAGCATAATACAACATTAAAAAATAATAATCGGACTAGGCAAGGTTGATGGACTTAGATTTAGAGCCAGATCAGAATCAAAATAATACCGAAATTCGGAACCACCACTGAAATGAGAGCAAAGAACAAGATTTGGGGGCTCCGTTTAGGTTCCAGGAAGGAGAAACCAAAGTGGGATGTAACTTCTGGGTTTAAGATGGGGGGGATTTTATTTAAAGTACTCTGATTTTTTTTTTTTTTTCCCAACACATTTTAATGAGGAAAGAGCAAGTAAAACACGGCAGGTGAGCCATCAGTATAAATAAGATGAGTCCAGTGCACTGGCTCTGTTGCAGGGCAGTGATTCCTGGCCGTGGATCACAAAGCTCGCCTTGGGCATGCAGGCCTGGTGTGGCACATTTGAGAGCCACGCTGTTGGGAAATGGGGAGGCAGCTCTCATTTGGTAGGTTCATTGTGAGGGACTCGGGTCTTTCCATTCTATGAACTATTTCCAAAGGGAAGGGTTCAGATGATGAGCAGGGCATAAATGCAATACCGCAGCTGGCAAAGCAAACAAAACTCTGGCTTGCTCGAGATGCATCGGTAGATGCAAGACCCAGGATGTCATCCTCTCACTGTACTCGGCCTTGGTGAGGCCGCAGCTGGAGTACTGCATCCAGTTTTGGGCTCCACAATTCTGGAAGGATGTGGAGAAGCGTGAGAGAGTCCAGAAGAGAGCCATGCTCACGATCAGAGAGGCTGCAAGCTATGGGACTCTTAGCCCTGAGAAGTGCAGGCTCAGGGGTGACTTGGTGGCAGCTGATAAGTACATAAGGGGTGTGCATCAGGATCTGGGGGAGCGGCTGTTCACCAGAGCACCCCCAGGGGATGACAAGGTCCAACGGTCACAAACTCCTGCAAGACTGTTTTAGGCTGAACATAAGGAAAAACTTCTTTACTGTCTAAGCTCCCCAAAGCTGATTTGCCACCCCCTGGGCAGGGGGCTGGACCCGATGATCTCCCGAAGTCCCTTCTAGCCCTAATGTCTATGAAATAAAAGCCCAAACTAATATACAGGATGCAACAAAAACCCTTCCCATCTTAGCACAACCAGGAAATTGAATCTGATTTTTAATGGACTCTTTGGTTGGCTGTGGAAAGCAAACTAATTGGAGAGAGAGATCCATTTACCCTCTGAAAGCACTAACATTCCTCAATCTGCTGAAATTTGGAAGCTTCTCTCTTTTCAAAGCCTTGCTTGTGCCATCCAGCACACATGTAACATGTGTGGCCCCTTGATTGAGATCCCCCTCCCTAGTGGGAAGTCTTGATCCTAATCTCTTCAAGGGCATCTTTTTGGAAATTGAAAGGGAAGGAAAGAAAACGCACACCATTGGGAACTGCAAGGACTGCACCCTCCAGGCAGGGCCTTGGGGTTTGGGCAGCACCTGCAGATACGGGGCATACTCCAACAAATCTGGGATTCCTGAAGTACTGAGAAGCAGACCTTAAAATGACCCACAGTGTACTACCCACAAATGCAAATTTACCTATTCTGTTTACTCACCATCTTCTCACTGTCAAAAGCATCAGACATTTCCAGCTTTGCTGTCCTTCCCATGGCTATATTTGAATAGACACTGGGAGAATAGCGTGATGGCTGAAACAGAACAGGTATTATTCATTATAGACCAAACTACCTTTTGTCCTTCTCTCGGAAGATGAACCCGAACCCCCCTCCCAAGTCTGCGGTGTAAAAATTGTTACCAGTGTCGATATGTGGCATTTGTGGATGATGTAAGGTCCATTTTAAAACGCATTTTATGTTTCTGTGCAAAGTACAGTGGTATCAGGTCTGAGCAAAGGGTCTGTCAGGGAACTCTCTGCCTATGCACTCTTCTTTCTCCCTAGCTTGTCTGTTTTATCTTTCAATTTTTAAGGCAGAATATTATCGAATAGTGCCAAATGAAAACCAAAACATTCACTTCAACATAAAGAAATCACTGGGTTTCATCCTTGGTTGCCTTCCTGTTCGATAGTCATTCAGGCCGCCGGAAGAGTTCCCTGATTTGTCTTCCATACAGATTGCAAGATGGGTCCGCAGAGGATGTGGGCGAGATCCTCTGCTGGTCTATCTGCCTAGCTGCACTGAAGTATAACATTAATAGGAGCTGGCCATCTAAATCCCCTTACAGCCTTGAAAACCGCAGCCTAAAAATGGAAATCCACTGGCCATTCATCATAAAATGAAAGGACTGGAAAAGTTGCAAATTAATATAGACACAAGTGTTACAAAGAGAGGATAGTTCAGGAAATGTGTTCACGGCAAAGATACTGAAGAATATTTATTTTTATTGAATCTTAAAGATGCACCTACTTATTCTAATGAAACCACAATCAAAATGTACACACAATTTTATTTACCTTGCTGGCTTCCTTTTTTGTAGGCATATGTTCCTTTTCTAAGCCTATTTTCTGAGTTACTTGCTCGGATAGATCTTTCTTTAGTACGATAAGTGCCTCGGGAACTTTCTCTTTAATAAGAAAAGGAACAAGAAAACCCCACACACAATTGTTACAGTATCACATATAAGATAAAATGGATTTACTAAAAGCACACTGTATTAAAGCGGAGTCCTCAAAGTATTTCCTAAGGAAATGTGTACAAATATACACACACAATGCAATAATGCATGTACCACGTTCATTATGAAATCAAGAACAGTATCTATTGCAAATGTAACAGTTGGATGCTATTTTCCAAGTTTGAAATTCAGGGAGCGCAGAGGCAATGGTTGTTTTCATTCTGGAATTTTATGGGGATCACTTTTTTTACTTTGATATTTTTGTAAAAACGGTAAAAATTATGATGGTTAAATGAAGCACAATTGATTAAAAATGAAAGAAAACTTAAAAAAACAGAACTTTATAAATACAGCTCATGAAGTTAAGTTCATTTTCAGTAAAAGCAGGCCAAGTGTTGATCTGAGTGGGATTGTACCTGCTTACAGCAAAAGAGGCTGTTGACCATGATATTTAGATATTAAGTTGGGTTTCTTTCTTTACTCTAAATTTTGAGCTATAACAACTGCAAATTAAAAGGTGTTTCTAGCTGATTCACTTTCCCAAGCATTGAGCAGGGTGTATGCCTTCACACACGTATACCAGCCTGTCTCTGAAGGATATGTAACCATAGGCCTGGTTTTGCAGTCAATGATACAGGATTTCAGTGGTAAAAGTAAGAGAAGAATTTGACCCTCTAACGTCAACAGTTATAACTCAATCTTCAGAGTGTGTTTCTTTGTTTTAAACAGTATACTCGTTCAATCCCCAAATTTGCAAGGACTTTAAATGCACGAGTAATCTCAAGGGTTGACTTGGACTACTTGAGTGTTTAATGTTATGTTAGACGAGGTTCCTTGGGTGAATTTGATATCTTTTATTAGACCAACCCAAATGGTTGGAGAATAGTTATTAAGCAAGCTTTCGGGTTCAAAAACCCTTCGTCAGGCTCAGGAAGCTGCAGCAGTGGGTGTGTGCTCTTCCTGGATGGAACGAAAAGTAAAGAAGCCAGGGGCTGGGCTGGGCTGGGCTGGGGAGTCAGTTGCCAGGCAGATTATAATGCATCAAAAATCCAGTGTCTATGTTTAGTCCCTGATCTCTAGTATCCAGCAGGTTGATGAAATGGAGCTCATAGGCTCGTCTCTGGGAAGTGTTGTGTAAGTTTCCCTTGAGGATCAGGACTGAGAGATTGGAGAGAGAGTGGCCCTCCTGCGAGAAATGTGCCCCCACCGGTAATTGGGTGTTTCTGTCTTTGATGGATTTCCAGTGTGCGTTCATGCTGATGCGCAGTTGTTGTCTGGTCTCTCCTACATATCTTCCATCAGGGCATTTGGTGGATTGGATGAGAGATACTACATTCCTGGAGGTGCAGCTCCACGCACAACAATTTCACTTTTAATAATCAACACTTCCTCCAGATGATGGGAACAGCTATGGGCACTAAAAGGGCCCCACAGTATGCCAACCTTTTTATGAGCCACCTGGAAGAAGACTTCCTCAAGAACTGCACCATCAAACCCTTGCTGTACTTACGATATATCGATGACATCCTCATCATTTGGAGTGAGAACCTGCA